CAACTAGGATAGACAAATGTGACTATATCAAATTAAAAAGCTTCTGTACAACAAAGAAATGGTCTCTAAGTTGAAGAGAACACCCACAGATTGGGAGAAAATATTTGCCAGATATACATCAGACAAAGGACTGATAACCAGAACATACAGAGAGCTCAAAAAACTAAACTCCTCCCAAATCAACGAACCAATAAAGAATTGGGCAACTGAACTAAACAACTTTTTCTAAGGAAGAAATCCAAATGGCCAAAAAACACATGAAAAAATGGTCACCACCCCTGGCCATAAAGGAAATGCAAATCAAAACCACACTAAGAATGCACCTCACCCCTGTTAGAATGGCTATCATCAAGAACACCACCAACAACAAATGCTGGCGAGGATGCGGGGGAAAAATGGGATACTCATACACTGCTGGTGGGAATATAAGCTAGTATAACCACTATGGAAAACATTATGGAGGCTCCTTAAAAAACTAAACAAAGGTATTGTATATGATCCAGCAATATCTTCCTAGGGATATACTCCAAGGAATGCGACTCAAGTTATAATAAAAGCACGTGCACCACCCACGTTTATTGCAGCACTATTTACAATAGCCAAGCTATGGAAACAGCCAAGATGCCCCACAACTGACAAACAGATCAAGAAAATGTGGCATTTATACACAATGGAATTTTACTCAGTCACAAAGAAGAAATGAAATTTTACCATTCACAAGTAAATGGATGGAACTGGAGAACATCATCTTAAGCGAAGTTAGAAAGGCTCAGAAGGCCAAAAATCACATGATCTCCCTAGCAAACGCAGTAGTATTATTGGACATGGGTCACACACTAAGGGGAAAACACACACGGGAGAAATAGGGAAAGGATAGGAAACCTAAAACTTGAATGTGGCTGATGTGCTCCCTGCTGAGGAGCAAATAAAGTAATCTTAAAATAGCAGAGTCCACTATGGTAAAGGGACCAAGAAGTATCAAAGAGGTCTGGGAGAAATGAACCAATGTGGGTTGCAATACACAGTTTATGGAAGAAATGCTAGGAATCTCTCTGTATAGATGTCTTTATCCCAAAATAGCAAAAACACTGTGATTTTCTTATTATCTCTTATGTTTTCTCTTCAACAAAAACAGAGAAGAGGGCAGAACAGGATCTGCCTGGAAGCGGGAGGTTGGTGAAGGTGGCACAAACAATGTATACACATGTAAGTAAATCTAAAAACAATAAAATAAAAGCAGATAGGAAAAAAAACAAAATGCTTTTAGCATAGAACTAGATTTCGCATACTTCTTTTAAGTTATGTGTAAAAATATGTTCCCATGGTTCTGTTAATTTTCTAGAGCAAAAGCACACATCATGATTAGCTAAATATTCTTATTTAGATATCCTTATTTGATAGTCAAGCTTAAAAAGAAATGAAAATTAACTACGCTATCATATGATTACCCTCTTAGTTACCCCTTCCAGGATTAAGTGTGTGATTTAACAGTAAATAGTTTAAAGACCTTGCATCAATTCTTAGCAACAAAAAAAACAGGACACCCAAAGATCAGAAACAGTAGTAAGAATTAATAAATATGACTGTGTTAAAATAGAAAGCTTCTGCACAGGGACAGAAACCATGAACAAAGTACAGTCTATGGAATGGAACAAAATTTTTACCACCTATTTATACAAGGAGAAATTAATATCCAGAATATATAAAGAACTCAAAAAAAACTAAACAACAGAGTAAATAGTCCAATCAATAAATGCGCAAATGAACCGAACATTTTTTTTTTAATAAAGAAGTACAAAATGGCCCAAAAAAAAAAAAAAAGATTGACATCTTCGGCTATCAGGGAAATGCAAATCAAAACTACATTGATATTCTACCTCACCCATCAAAATGCCTATATTCAAGAAAATTAAGAACCAGAAATGTTGGTGAGGATGGGAAGGGATCCTTATGCAATGGTGGTGGAAATATAAATTAGTGCAGTTACTATGGAAATCAGCAGGTAGGTCCCTCAAAAAATTAAAATTAGAGCTTCCATATGATCTAATTACAATACCACTTCTGGGTACACACCCAAAAGAATTAAAGTCAGCTTACCATATACATACCTACACACCCATATGCTCACCGCTACACCATTTACAATAGCCAAATCATGGAATCAGCTTAGGTGACTATCTATAGATGAATGGATTGAAAAAATAATCTGGTATATATACACAATGGAGTTTTATTCAGTCATAAAGAAGAACAAAATTAAGGTTGTTTGCAGCAAAATGGATAGAAAGGGAGATCATGTTAAATAAAATAAGCCAGTTTTGCAAAGGTACGTATCACACGTTTTCTCTCATATGTGGAATTTAGGGGGGAAATGAATAGAAAGGGGGGACTATTAAAGATGGGAAAGGGGAAAAAGGGTAGGAGGGATAAGAAAAGGTAACAGAGGGTGTGAATATGATCAAAGTACATTATATACATAAGAGGAAATGTCATAATGAAATCAATTACTTTGTATAATTAATATATGCTAAAAAGTAAATAACACATAAGATACTGCACACTCAAAACAACACTGGTAAAGACCAACTGTATTGAAAAAATATTTTTCCTATTGAAGCATCACTTCAAAATTATACACAAAACTATAATAGAACTGAAGAAATGGACCAAAAGTATAAGCATAAATATATATTATACTGTAGAACAGTTAATGATTATTCATTTTGATACAAAGATGGTAGGCCAAATACTGAAGGAATGAACCACTTAAAATTCTACTACTCCAGCCACAGACTAAAAGTGAAACAGTCACTTACATCTTAAACTATCTGTTCAACTCTGGTTAAAATATCATTGAGCCAGACCTTACAGACTTCAGAGTAGTTTATAATATACTTTAACAAGGTATAGAAGGCCTTGCCTTATTTGGCTCTTGACTCTTTGCACATGTTTGTCTCTCTTCCCAACCCCCTTGTATCCTGCAGATGTCTAAACAGCACTGTGCTCTTTCTCAAGTCTGAAATATGCTCCCTACTTTACTGGTCCCTTGAAAAAGTTACATCTACTTGTATCTTAAGACCTATCTCAAGCTTAACCTCTTCTACAAATATTTTTCCTACCATACTAATTCCTCTACAGAATCTATGACTCATTCTTTTACGCCTCCATTTAGATAAAGTACTTCTTTGGTATTCAGGTACAGTTACTTGTTGACATGTCTTCTCCCGCTTAACAATTAATCCCCAAAAGCAAGGTTAGAATAGTATTCTTTTATGTCCCTAACTAGCACTGTATCATATAACACAGTAAGCACAGAATAAACACAGGATGCACAAGTTCAATTTGACTTTGCAATGCAATACATTATAGAAAAGTGTGGAAAACTGAAAAATATTCTCCCTCAATGAGGAGATTCAGTTACATACTTAAAATTGTGATAGAAAACTAAGAAATACAAATGGTCACTCTAGATATTCAGAAGTAAAAACAATAGTTTTATGGTTTATTCAGAGTATAAAACTTCCACTAGTTCAGTGCTTGTAAGTTTCAGCATACTATAGTCATAATAGGCTAACTGATACAAATTCAATTATAAAAACTAAATGCCAGTAAAACTCTTCTATGAATCACAATTTTCAAAATACTATTTTTACGATGTTAAAAAAATTCATTTAATAATGCAGAACAGACCTAATACAAATTAAACAAAATATAAAACATTCAATGTATGTGAGATTGATCATAGAATTAACAATATGACACTTTATTTCCAAAGTAATGTTAATCAGCATAACCAGTAAACTCTGAGTTTACTGATCCAAAAATGTAGGAAGATAGTTTCTTAAACTGATTTAAGATAGTATTCTTTCTGTAATTCTTGACTGATACTTCATATGATGTAAGAACTCTTAATTCCAATAATAATACCAACAACAAAAAAATCACATCTATCAAATGAGTATTTACCATATGCTACTTACATTTATATATGATATCACATTAAATATTCCCATCAATTCTTTATCTTCATATTAGAATCCTCTTGAGATAGCGCAACAAGAAAACTGAGTTTCTGAGAGATCTAATTCACTAATGCCTCACAAGCAATAAATGGAAAGGGAACTAATACCTGATTTCAAAGCTTCTGCTCTTTCCACAGGAGCATGCTGTGGAAAGCATGCTTCCAGTATTAAAATTAGGTTGACATTATTTTAAATTTGGGAAAAACATACAGTGTCAGTATTGAGGGCAAGGCTAAAACCCCCAACATAAACTTTTCATGTGACATTAAAAATAATTCATCACACCGAATAACATAACCAAATTGTGACACAGAAAAGAATTAAAATAATGGCTTCCTTCATGTAACAGGAAAAAATTTAGAAGGATAACAATTTTTTATTGAATAAGGGATCTAAAATGTAATCAATTATTTCTAGATAAACTTATTTCTCAACAGTTATTGTTTCAAACAGAAATAAGTCAAAAAATTTTCTGGATCAGTAAGTCACTTTATACATAAAATTTCTGATATTTTGAAGTTTATATTTTTATCACATAATTCAGAAATATAAAGTGCTGTACAGTGTTAACACTGCCTATACTTTTTCAGAGTAAAAGACCTTCTTGTCAGAAAGGAACAACAGATTTAAATAGGACTGTCCCCATAACTGAAACATGCAGACCTGCCAGTATTGCCCTGTGACTTTTACACTACTCATTCTCGTCAAGTTCTCCTATATTTACATACATGCCTGCTATGTAAAACCACTGGTCTATAAAATTGAGTACTATTGAATATTAAAGAAGTGCTTTCTTTGCTAACTACCTATGTTTAAAAAGGCTATTTTGAGCTATGGATGTAGCTCAGTGGTAACGGTGTGCATTTCATGCTTAATACCCCGGGTTCAATTTCCAGAACATTAACAATTGTTTTTTCAAAAGGCTGTTTCATTAATACAGTTCACATTTACATAAAACTTAAATAACTTCAACTATACCTCATCCTGAAGTTCATCACCACTTTTAACAGAAGCAAGCATATCATACAAGGTACAGCAAAGATCTTCTATTCTTGGTGCTTCGGTCATTTCCTTCAAAGTTGCATTTAAGTACTTCTCAACTTCACACCACAAAAAGGAACCATTGATTTTTCCACAGGCTTAAGCTCTGGTGTGCTATGCTCCTGAAAATGTTCATTCACAAACTTCTTGTAATCTAGGCTGATAGTTTTCTGGGCTTCACCATTTACTGGCAGTTCATCAAAGTGGTCCAGATCGTGCATGTCAAATGAAAATACTAAATTTTTACCAAAAAATACTCTATCACTACATTCCTTTTCTGACAATTGAACAAAAGCAGTAATTTCATCTTGGCTAAAATGAGAAACAATTCTATTAATGGCATCACAAGCTGCAGTGGCAGACGATGACGGAAAGGGACCAAACATGTGCTTGATAGCCTTTGTCTCCATGTGACCAACAGAGTCCTTCAAGTGAAATGTCATAAAGAGAAATGCAGCACCACTTTCAATTGCTTCTCTCCCATTATCTGGTCCAACTACACAAAGACAAAAGAAACAGTATTAACTCAATTGAATCATGGTTCAAGCTACCATTTTCAAAAAAAAAAAAAAAAACCCACTACAAATTTTTTTAACGTTAAATGCAACTGCCAAAACATGCATAAAGTAATCAATTTAGGAACAGAAAAATCCATTCCAAATTCCCAAAGAACTCTGATAAATAAACACTATTGGTAGTTATATATAAATACAGAAACAACTTACTAACAACCCTCACCTCTTTCTAAAAGAAATTTGAGGCATTAGCTAAAACTTAAAAACAAATTTTAAAGACTACTTTCATGAGGTAGTTAAATATACCATTACAAGTGCAAAAGAAATCTGAATTATACACATGGAGATAGAAGGAAACCTTAGCGAGCTACAACTTTCTTCCCAATTTTTACCATAAATCCAGATGGCAAGAAATGAATAATTTACATGTTTATGTAGCTCTCACACAGAAACATTTTAAGACCTACAGGACATATTAAGTTTAAAATAAACTTAGCAACACTATAAAATATAAAAGAAAGCTGCTGTTTTAAAGGGACTAAAAGGAAACTCCTCATCAAAGTAAGAACAGGTAAAGGATCAGCCTCTAATTTCTTTAAGGCATTAATGTCTCCTATCCAATTTTCTCAAATAAAAGAACAGAACCTGTAACTGAGACACAGATTTCAGAGACTATTCTCAAAGCAGAAAAAGAAAAAGAACTTAAATCTTCGAGAGGCCCTTAAATCAATCTGACCTATCTAAATACTGATAAAGTTGGTAATATAATTAACACCACTTATCTTCGTGAAAGCATGGCTCTAATACTATTACTCACAAATCTTGAACAGCTTATCCAGTAAGATCTAAATTACTACACAGCCAGGAAATGACCCCATCATCTTTTTCCAGAGTTACTGTCCACTACACATTTTCTGCTCCAGCCAAAAAGAATTTCTTATCATTAAAAACACCATGTCTGCCAGGCACAGTAGTATCCATACGGCCAACAACTCTGATGGCTGAGGCAGGAGGATCACTTAAACCTAGAAGTTCAAGCCCAGCCAGGGCAACATAAGTAAATCCTATCTCAAAAAATAAAATAAACCAGGCATAGAAGCACATGCCTGCACACTTGTAATCCTAGCACTCAGGAGGCTGTCAGAAGGTTCGGGAATTTGAGGTCAGCCTGTACATAAGAGATTCTGTCTCAAAAACAAGTAATTTTTTAAAGTTGTAATTTTAAACAAAAGTAGCTGCTATTCTATGCCTATTTCCAAATTCTTGTTTATCTTTCCCCAGGATCAACAGCGGTTCAAATTCTACCCTGGTTTCAGATTCCAGCACTCAGCTGCCTCATTTAAGGTGAGCACAATCTTATGCTTACTTTCCTGTTCCGTCACTGTACTCAGCCCCAAATGAGTGGCTCAACAAAGATTAGTTGATTTAAACTAAACCCAGACCTCAATGACACCAGACAAGTATTTTTACACCTCACGATGACCCAGTAAATTTTTACTACATATGTTTTTTGCACACTTGTAGAAGAATAATAGTTTATATGCACATATAAGCAGTTTTACAATGTCCATTCCCAACTTCGGCTTGGCAGAGTGGCTCAAGTGGTAGAGTGCCTGTCTAGCAAGCATGAGGCCCCTGAATTCAAACCTCAGTACCACCAAAAAAAACAAAAAGTACCATTTCCAACTTATCAAGTATAAAGTCCACTTTTTACAATTATAATTTACAATTATATCTTATAGAACACTACCTGACTACAATTATTCTTCTAGTATTTAGGAAAATGCATGGCAAATTTTCTTATAGAGTGTTTTTAAAGTCATTATCAATAGTGCTTGTGTACATTTCACTTATTACATACATTTTACTTATACCCAGAGATTTAGGTTTTGGATAATTTAGGGACTGTGATAATTCTACAGATAATTTTAAAAGGTGGGTACTACTACTAATTTTAGAGCAAAAATAGATTCACATTTAGAAAGTCATTCTACATCTAACATTGTAAAAAATTTTTGTAAAAATGGCATTATTACTATTTGGCAAATTGGGATTTCCTTATAGAACTAACTAAAAAACTTTCACATTAAGTCATCCCATTTTGTCCTAACAATATCATTTCATAGATGCTAAAAAGGTTCCTCAAGCTTGGAAATTTGAGAACTATTAAGTCATTAAACAAGATTCCTACCAGTCTTCTAATTCCCAGTTGTTGTTTTTTCACTACTACACACTGATTCAATGTAAATTCCTCAGTAGATTTCTCTCCCCTTCTTGTTTACTAAATAAATTTTAGAAATAAATCACTTTACGAAATAAAGTAATAAATTACTAAAAGTGCAATTAATACCAAGAATTCATAAATGTTCCCATTAAAAAAAACTATACTAACCAGCAGAAAAATAAGTTCTGGGTCCATTTTTTTAAAAGAGAAAATAACTGTAGACTCAAAGATTAGACTTTTCTAGAATTTCAGATTTTTAATGAGCATCGACTTAGATCCATAAAATTTCAAAAATAACAGCTATTTTAAAATTTTTTATGTTTGTTGTGCTATGATACCTCATAAATGCTAACGCACTAGCCTAAAAAGCAACTCTCTTGCACAGCCTACTCAACCAGACGTCTGTTAGGCTGTAAAACCGTATTCACTTCACATAGCGGTTTCGTGCTATTCTGGGGCTCCAAGTTTTGAGAACCCTGACTAGCAGCATTTGTTGCCACGAATAGCTGGCCACCAGATACAGACAACCGACTGCACCATGACAGCAGCAAACATCCCCAGGGCCCTGCTCCGCTGCACACAGACCAGCAAGGCAAGTACACTGGGGGGGGGGGGGGGGAGGTGTCCCCCTACCTACAATGCACGCACGCGCGGAGCCCGCGTTCTGGTACCCAGTCCACACGTGATGACGTCAGGGGCCACGATTAGCTCCAAGCGGAGTGCTAGGACTGCCCGGATGACAGCGCGGCTCCGGACTGGAGCAGAGGAAGGAGACCCAGTATGGCGGCAAAGGAGCTGCCCTAATTTGCTGAGGTGGGGCACCCAGGAAGGCGGCGCTCAGTGACCGAAATGCTTGAAAAGTGTAAGACACATAAAACCCTGAAGAAAATATACGCTGCCAAACTTGACAAAACTCTAGGAGGCCCCACCGTCCCTCAATAAAAATGGAAGGGGAACCTGTGTGCTTCGCTATTAACCAGGTGACACACCACGCAAAAGACCACTAGGAAGAAGTGGGATGCGGTGGAAAGCCGCAGGTGCTGCGCTCCAGGGCACAAACTTGCAGTTGGTCACGCCATTGTCTCCTTTAGCCACAGCCACGAAAGAACATGTTACACCACCTGTGAGACTCGTTCCCAAATTAGCTTTTACATTCCCCCTCATATTCTACATATAACTTAGTAACCAATCTTTTAAATTGTTAGGCTGACAATTTCTTTTTCCGTAGGGGGGATTCAACCTCAGGCCATATGCATGCTAGGCAAGAGCTCTACTGCTGCCACCCCATGATTTATTGGGTTGAACCCAGGGCCACCTGCAAACAATCTATCACTTGCGCCACGCCAGCCATTTTTGCTTCAGTTATTTTTCTGGTAAATTCTCCTTTTCCTGCTTTATGCCTCGACCGGAGTTACACCACGATTCTCCTACCTATGCGAGAGGTTCCTGGTCCCCTTTTTTAATTTTTATTTTTAAGCAGGGTTTCATTAAGTTGCTCAGATTTGCTTCGCACTCGTTACACAGTCCAGAGGGGCCTTGAACTTGCAATGAGCCTCCCAAGTAGTTGGGATTACAGATCAGTACGAATAGGTCCAGCCTGATGATCTTTACTTAACATTTATATGCAGTTCTTCAAGCTTCAATATATTATTAAGCATCCGATATGTGGATACAATATACACTTTCTCTTTAGTGATGCTCAAAATAAGTTTTATTATAGAAAGCTTTTATATAAGTCTAATTCATACTTATATGTTTGCTGGGTGGTTACTTAGGAAGTCAAGTTGTAATTTGATTAAGGATTTTATAATAGTAGAAATGATAATATAGTAGCTGGATGCTGCCTTAATGTTGTAACATGAGTATTCACATTTTTAAATGAATTACACATAAAATTAAATGGCTATTTTTAAAACAGAGAAGTACTTTTGATTAATTTTAATCCCTCGCTCTACTATGCTTTTTCTGTAGCAAATATGTTTCTGTTTGCTTTCCTATACTTATTCCTTCACTCTAATCAAGTTTCTATATAAATGTAGCAGTAATCTTAACATTCAAGTAACTCAAATGACAACACTGAACATTTCTTGAACACTTTCCTTATTTAATGGCAAGGTATTGCCAGAGGTACTTTGGTGCACAGAATTACAACATACTGTAAAATAAATGAAGTTTATTATATTAAGTTACATTACTTAGGTAATTTTAAAATTATGTCACATGCCACAGAAAGCCACATAGTAAAGCTTACCATTATATCAAACATTTATTGGATAATTTGGTGATCATTCAAAAGGTACTCTACTGTTCCAACTCCCAGCCCCAAAAAATAAATACAACTGGCTTGCTCTTGTTGTAGTCTTAGTGTATTACTTAATCTTTTTTGTATGAGTATCTCTGTAAAATGAGGAAAGTACTAATAAGATCCACAAAACAGTTTTACATATCAGTTTAAAAATTTACACTAGTGATCACTGGAGGTAAGCATGTAGAGATAACTATGGAGAAAAGGTATGGTATATGTTCAACTTGAATCACCATCTTTATATTTTATCTTATGTAATGTACTTTGTTATATATTATCCTAGAAAAGATGTTGGTTTGAATATTTTACATATTCTTAAAAGAAAAATCATGATTATCAAATAAAAAAAACAGGTAGCTAATATCAACTCATGTATAACATGTTTATAACAGTCACCTTGCTTATCTTGCTTGTATTTTTGACAAGTATAATAAACTTAAACAATGCAGAAT